TGAATAGATGGTTAGCTAGAGGTCTGGGACGAGGGAGTCAATCGAATTAACGGGTCCTGAATGAGATAAACAGATCCAATGATGAAGGGAGGATGCCAACAATACACTGATATTGTCGAAAGCTTGTTGATTATAACCCCGTCATGTGTCATTTGTTTGGTAGCGCCATCCTCTTATACTAATTAATATCTCCCGAGAAACAACCAGCCCTCGGGGGAAAATACTCAAATCCCAATCCAACCAACCAATCAACCCAATGATTTTCTTACCACTGTCACTGTCAGCGGCTAATCAACTAGCCCCCCCCCCTCCCAGAAAAAAAAGAAAAAAAAGAAACGTCCCGGGAGAGGATCGAACTCTCAACCTCACGATTAACAGTCGTACGCGCTAACCTGTTATTTGAATTAGTAACTGATGGGATGGAGTTGTTTTTGAGTGACAGGGAAGCTTACCAATTGCGCCACCGAGACGACTCGTTGATGCCGGGCCTGCTTTGATGATACAAGAGTATTCTTTGAGGATGAGGGGAGGTGGGTCTACGACTCAGTGTGTGTTAGTTAAGGCAAGCATACTACTGATGGGAACATATATTTTATTGGGAATTTGGGATGGGGATGATAATTACTAGGTTTTCAAGAGTGAAATCTGGATGAATGATTGAATTTGCATTTTGGTAGGTAGTAAGTAGTCAACGCGTGCACTTGATTAAAATCCGACACGAAGATATATATCCATCTCCCACAACCACCCATCCGTACCATTCTATACTTCACACTCAATCAAACTCTCCGACCATCGATCTGCCGTCCAGATCTTCACCACGCGGAATCCTGCCTCCGTTAATAACCGCCGCCACTGCGATTCAGTCCGCTCAATCCCCGCAAAATCCGCCATCAGGATCAAGTCGAGCGAAGTCACCTGCCAGTGCGCCCCATGATCCGCCATCACGTTTTCGTTGATCAGCAGCCGGCTGACCCCCGGCACCATGGCAGCCTTGAGTGGGGCGAGGATCTGGTGGCAGGCCTCGTCCGGCCAGTCGTGGAGGATGGAGTGAAGGTAGTAAGCGCGAGATCCTACTGCTTAGTTAGATCTTTGACCAGGTCAGAAGCACCAAACAGGGCCGAGGAAGACAACAAAAACACAAACCCTTAACCGGCTGCTCGGTAAAAAAGTCGTGGGCCATGCACTCGATGGACGGGTGTAGGTCGGTCGCCTCTGCAACAACGGCAGGCAGGTCCTGCAGGATTAATCGTCCCGGAATCGTCGGCCACTTGGTGCGAAGCTCGTTGAGATCATGTCCCTTTCCGCCCCCGACGTCGACGAGGAGCGCATCATCCTCTCCCAGCGGACGTCCGCACTGCAGCTGGTCGACCGGGTAGAAGCCCGGATCCATCCAGCTGGCGCGGCCCTTATGGTAGATGGACATGTGATTGTTGAACTGGGCACTGAGGGCGGGGTGGTCTGCGAGGTCTTCGAAGAAGGTGTGTGCGGTGTGGACGCCCAGCTGGAAGGGGCTGTGGTGGCTGTCGGTGGGATTGTGGTATTTGGTTTGGCGGAGGAATTTGGGGACGGCGAGGACAGCGGGGTAGATACAGTCCATGCTGTTTGTTTCAGTATAGGATCTAACTGAGGGTGGGAATCACTGACAATGCTGGAAAGGAGTCGGCGTATTTGGTGTTGGCGAGAGTGTGGGAGAAGCCGTTGCAGGCGTATTCGCCGTTCTCGGTCTCGACGACGGCGTTAATGGCTCCCAGGTGCTTCATGATGCGCTCTGCAGGAGTTATAGGTGAATGGAAGTTGCCAGAGGCGCTGTTCACGTACCCAGCAGGACGAGGTCCGCCCCGGTGGTGCGCGCCAGCTCATGGACGGACTTGGGCTGTTTGGTCTCTGCCAGCAGACGAAAGATGCCCAGGTCGACGGCTGTTGCAATGGCGGCGAATGCGGTAGGCTGATAACAGTGAGTCAAGCTGTCTGTCTGGAATGAATGCACCTACACTCCGCCAGCAGTGTCGCCCGATCGCCTCTCTTGGGGTTTCAACCGCGGCTAACAATGACTCGACTGCCTCCAACAGCTGCTTCCGGGCGGTGACTTGGCCCGCAATGAAGGCCCGACTGAGGGTGCTAATCTCCAAGGCCAGGGGGACAATCTGGTCGGGGGAATTAGGGTTGACGGCGATGTGGTCGACGTCGAGGTCGACGGTCCACTGGTCGTTCTCGAGCTCGCCCATATCTGCTTAGGCAGGAGAGAAAAATTGCAGAAAAATGGAACAGGGAATATGAGGGAAAGAAGCAAGAGGGATGTATGTTATATATGCCACTAGGATCTTCTCTCTGTAGTCACTGGCCCCGGCCGTCTGGCAGCGGAATATAGGGCGCGCACATTCGATAGAGAAAGATAGCACATGAACAGTCGAGACGCAGCAATGAACTCATAGTGATCTAGGTGGTTGACATCGATCTCATCTGGACCACATCCGGCCATGTGATGGTCTGGCCCAGTGAATGAGATACGCGCCATCAAAACACGATATTCACAAACAAGCCACCTAATTCCATACCATCCACCTATGATACATCTAACCATTAAGAAAACCTACCAACTCCCTCTCCCCCAACCACCATCTTGACAGCCTCCCTCTCCAACATCCTCTCCTGCCACCTCGTGAAAAACGGAACCTCGTCCTTCCTCCACGCCTCCTCCCCGGTCCTCCCCGCCATGAAAAACTCTATCTGCAGATTCCACATCACAAAGGCTAAATCTGCATATGTGCACTTGTCCCCGACCAGCCAGTCCCGTTCACTCAGGATGGTGTTCAAGACACCTACAATGCGTTTGACTTCGGCTCCGTATCGCACTTTGGCGGATTCGGGGGATTCGCCGTATATGTTTTGGTGGAAGAGGTTGAACCTGATTTGTATTGTTATATTAGATAAAGTTTGTGGATTGTAGGTTCGTGAAGGGGGGGGGGGGGGGGAGGTACCACGCCGCCTGACCAAAATACAGGCCCTGGCCGGAGGCCTGAAAGTAAGAATATTGGATTAACTGGTACTTTTCGGGGAGGGTGGTGTAGGTTAGTTTATTGGTGATGTCGTAGGTGTCGATTAGATACTAGGATAGTTAGGTGCGATGAAGTCAGAACAGGTGGAGGGGACATGCCTGGACGATGGCGCCTGATTCCCAAATAGTGATGTTCGTATTTGGATCGGTTATTGCTGATGGAGGATATTAGGGGGATGTCCGGATGAGAAGTGAAGATGGGGTATTACCGGGAACCCGTCCATTAGGGTTCACATCCGTAAAGGGCTTCTGCTTGAGATCCCCCAGTTCCACCCATGAGGTTTCGTACGGGAGATGGAGCTCTTCGAGGATGATGAGGACTTTGGCTGGGTTGGGGACGTGGTCTGATATGTTAGTTTAAATGGATAACTGTAATGGACGGTGGGCTTACTTCGCCAGTAGAGCTTGATTGGTTCAAGTGACATGTTCGGTTGGATTTGAGAAGTAGGGAGTTGGATGAGAGAAATTAAGTAGTTGAGGTGTCGATTGCGATGCTCTCGGATTTATAGGGGGCGTTCAGCCTTGTCTGATTCTTCGACCATGACACTGTCAAGTGGCAGGCTAGAAACATGCCAGCATAGGACTCATAAGACAGTATCATGGAGATGATCTAGACCGTATCTGGAGTAGTCTATCTCAACCACGTGGCTGTAACCGGGCTGACGAGTTAGAGCGCACTGCATTCCCCACTGCGGGTCCAATATCACATTGAATTATTCCACAATGCGGAGGCGATGCTTACGATGGCTTACTTTATTTCTCACCAGGCTCCTATCCAGGAGCCTTATTGGGCGCATTGATCTCGTCTGTGCTGTAATTTCCTCTGACAGGTTCAATTAGTTGGTAATCATGGCCAGTGCTATACTGCTGTACATAGGTCAAAATCCAGACACCCCCCCGCGCAATAACTACGTTCTCTAAAATCTTACATCCAGGCCAGCACAGGGACTATTAATAGAGCCCACGATTGCTGTCGGGAAGACACACTCCCCTCCACTCAGCGCCTATGCACAACTCATAAATACCCCAACAACCCACCCATCTCCTCTTTCCACCCTCATCACCCAACCTCCATTCACCCACCACCCATCAACCATGTTCGCACTCGACCTCACCTCCTCCGCCCTCCTCCTCCTCTTCCTCTCCCTCACCGTAAGCCCCCATCCCACCCACCCACACACCCAACCCAAACTAACAAACCCAGTACCTAACCCTCCACACCATCCACACCCTCTACCTCCACCCCCTCTCCAAATACCCCGGCCCCCTCCACTGGCATCTCTTCCACCTCCCCTCCCTCCTCTCCATGACGCGCGGCCACCTCCCCCACACCATCCGCACCCTCCACACCCAGCACGGCCCGATCATCCGCACCGCGCCCACCGAACTCTCCTTCACCTCCCCCCTCGCCTGGCCCGACATCTACACCCACTCGCCCCTCTTCCCCCGCCCCCCCGAACTCAAAGACCAACCGCCCGGCAAAACAGCCCCCAACCTAATCGCCTGCACGGAGTCCCAACACACGCGTCTCCGAAAGATCCTTTCCCCGGGGTTCTCCACCAAAGCTGTCATGCTACAGGAAGGGGTCGTGCAGGGGTACATCACCCTGCTTATGAACAAACTAGATCAGAAGATGGAAAAGGGAGGAGGGAATGGGAATGGGAAGGTGGATGTGGATCTCGTAGAGTGGGTGAATTATCTCTCCTTTGATATAATCGGGGACGTGACGTGGGGAAAGTCATTTGGGTGTTTGGATGGCTTGAGATATGATTCTTGGGTTCAGACGGTCAGGCAGTTCAAGGCGGCGATGGTGGTGGGGGTCTTGAAGTATTATCCGCTCTTGTGTAGGGTGGTGATGGCGGTTACGCCGGATGAGGCGTTGCGGGGGGTCATGGAGATGTGGAGGGTTACTGAGCAGCGGGTCAGAGAACGGGTTGAGAATGAAGGTGGGAGTGGGAGTGGGAGTGGAAGGATGGATTTAGTGGGGACGATGATGAAGGGGATGATGAGTCGGGAGGAGATGGAGGTGAATGCGATGTTGATTGTCGCGGCGGGGAGTGAGTCGATTACCACTGTGGTGACGGGGACGGTGAATTATCTGCTACGGGAGCCGGAGAAGATGCGGAGGCTGGTGGAGGGGTTGAGGGGACGGTTTGAGAGGGAGGAGGAGGTTACGGGATCGGCGGTGAAGGGCTTGCCCTATTTGGATGCCGTGTTGAATGAGGGCATGAGGCTTTGTCCGACGATTCCGGATGGGATGCGCAGGTTGGTTCCGGAGGGAGGGGCGGTCATTGCGGGGGAGTTTGTGCCAGGTGGCACGACGGTGTCGGTGTGTCAGTGGGCGAGTTATCGGTCTGAGAGCAATTTTTGTGATCCAGACGAGTTTGCGCCGGAAAGGTGGTTGGGGGAGGA